TTTATTGCATCTGTTGAGGTGTATTCACAGGGATAAAAGATGATAATTCGGCCTTTTTAGAAATTAGACTTATAAATCATTCTTGTTGGCTAACATTAGCATGCAGAAGCTTGCTTACTAAAAGTCTTAAACTTTTTGCTATTTAGTTAGTGTGATATTGAGATTAAAAAATGTTTAACTGGCGGTCCCAATAACCTATTCAATGTGATTCAAAGAATCAATAGATTTCCTGATTTAAATACAGTTATATTTATCAATCCGAAAATTTCCTCATTGGAATGTTGGCAGACAAGTTTGGATTTAAAAGGTTTATAGAAGACTTTCATGGTGAAAAAGATGATTTTGTATGGGGGACGGTTGAGAGTGACAATGTCAATGAAGCAAATGTTAGTGAAAGTGATTATCCCTTAATGAATAAAGGTGAAAGTGTTTCTAAAGCCCAAGAATATTTTCAAAACTGCATGTTATTATAAAATGACCCTAATTGCCAGTGGCACATAGTTCCAGTGGTTTTAAGGCTGGTCGGAAAAGGTAAAGTACTTGAATTTATTGCAAAACCACTTAAGTAAAGATATGAGTGTCACATCTAAAATGTTGAAAAACATGTAAAACTTGTTACAGAAGCTTCAGCTTCTGTGGTTTGACGCAATCTCATGCATGTACATATTTAAAACAAAATTAGGTCGAGGAAATAAATGAAAAATTTCACATCAAAATGTGATTTTAAATTATATGTTTGGTATATTTTTTTGTGTTTTATATATAAATAACTGTTCAATCGTAGGATTTTTCATCTTGATAGTTTGAACATAAATGTAATATATTGAAAGTATCCGTTGTCAAATTTTTGTAATATGTCACTATTTCAACTGAAAAATAAAATAATTAGATTTTAGGCAATAACTTCATAAATATAGTTTAAAAAAAAAATCTTATTTCAATAAACAATGTTCTAAATTTTATTCTGCATCATTTGGTACCTATTTGATGCTTGTAACTTATTTGATAATTTATTTATGACTTATTTTTGCATTTTTAACCCATAAAATGTCAAAAATTTTATATTTGAAACTTTTTTTATTGTTGTTGTTTTAGGTGCTCCAAAAAGGCCTAACGGTCTTGTCACAGAGCATCGCGAAAGTGGATTTAACCTTTTTATGCCTCCTTTATTTACTGTGAGGCGAAAATATGTCCAGAGCTCGTTTCGAACCTGGATATTCTGCTTCTATAGCAAGCGCTCTAACCATTGCACCACGGCCTTAAATTTAAATTCAAGTGGGTTGGCTTAAAATGGTAACCACTGACTTTTTTCTTCATAAATGTGTTTTATAGATCAAAAACCAAGTATAAGAAGGGGACACTTTTTGATTTGATAAAATTTTTTATTTTTCAGCCCATTCTAATATATATATATATATATATATATATATATATATATATATATATATATATATATATATATATATATATATATATATATATATATATATATATATATATATATATATATATATATATATATATATATATATGTATATGTATATGTATATGTATATGTATATGTATATGTATATGTATATGTATATGTATATGTATATATATATATATATATATATATATATATATATATATATATATATATATATATATATATATAAACCGTTATTAAACCAGACCAGAAAAAGTTTAAAAAATTTGAATATTTTTTTTTTCTTAAATGATATACTGCCTGCCCAAACCAAACCCTCAGTCGATGTTGCAGCACTCCCTTGCGAGTCAGGCTATAAGATAGTCGAGTTAGCAACACTCCGTTGTGAGTCAGGCTATAAGATAGTCGATGTAGCAACACTGTTGCGAGTCAGGTTATAAAATAGTCATTGTAGCAACACTCCCTTGTAGCAGCAGGCTATAAAATAGTCGATGTAGTAACACTCCGCGCTGATTTTAAAAATATATTTTAATAAAGCAACAACAAAAACACCATTAATTAAAGAAAAATTTGTAGTCATTATTATTGCGGTTTGTTTAAAAAACAATAAAATTTAATGTAATCAGGGGCGGATCTAGTGTACGCCTAGTACGTCTGTAGACGTACCTAAAAATAAAATTAAATCTAAAAAAAAGTTGATATATTATTTTAATATTGCTTATAAAAATAATTTTTTACCGTCAAGTAAATTAGAATAAAGTTTTATTTTCGTCATATTTTTACAGTTACGGGAAAAAAAAATTTTTTTTTTTTGCTTGTTTAGAGTAAATAAAGTTGCTTCTTGTTTCGAGCGGTTTTTCAAGTTTAAATAAAAACATCTTTTTTAACAGGAGGTCAAAGTAATATTAAATAATATTTAATTAGAGTCAATGGATGTACCCAATATTATTTTATTAAACTGCAATATGTTAAGTATCTTTTTTGGCACACTTTAATGAAGTATTATACCTTTTAAACTTGTACATACCAGGCAACAGTATGTTAGAGAAGCATATTGAAAGTTTCCGTTGGCTGTTAAAAAACAATTAAAACGTTTTTGCAGAACATCTTGGGTGGAAAAAGTTTACTTTTGTTTTGGATACTTTTCAAGAACTTTGTGCTGGTTCCTACAAAAATAATATCAGAAGTTTAATTTTTACAAAACAGTAGAAGGGCTTCATCATATCTTTTAGTGACTTTGTTGGGACAGATCTACTGAATTCCCATGCTTTAACTTTGTGAGCTTCATTTATGCAAAACGTTTTGGTTAAATTTAAAAAAGGTGATTTTAATTTTGATATTACTGAGTTGTTAAGAATAATAAATTTTTCTGCTTGTGAAAACATTAAAAAATTTACTTGCATTAACTTCATGTAAACGTGAATGGACATATTATTCATTTTGGTTCCTGAAAAATTATATGTTAAGCACCATGGTACAATGCCAACAACACCGATTTGGTGTTATCATTCTTTGTATATAAAATGCTATGTTGTATTTGTTTTTTAATTATGAAAAATCTGAAATAAATCAATTTTAAAAACAGTTTTGTTTTTTAAATTGATTTATTTCAGATTTTATGTATTTATTATCAAGATTTAATAAAATGAAGATTTTAAAATTTACTTTTTTTTTAACAAAATGGGGCATTAAGTATGCGTCTTTAAATACCTCTTTATATGATTTAAATTTACATATTATAATATAAAAACATTTTATTATAATTAGTGTTTTTATAATGTATTTGTTACAATAAAAATATAAAATTTTGCAATGTTTAATTTATTTTTATAACGGTAATGTGAAAATATAGTTTTTAATAATAGATTTGTAATATATATATATATATATATATATATATATATATATATATATATATATATATATATATATATATATATATATATATATATATATATATATATATATATGTATTTTGTTTTTAAATATTTTTAAAAATATTTAATCGTAATTTGACTATATATATGTGGACTATATATATACTTTCTAACGATTTTCATGTGAGTGTGTATTGTCTATAATTGTTAAATGTATTGATTTTAATTAGTTTTGTTCTTGTTAAAACTATTGTAACCATCAACAAAAAAAAAAGTTTTTTAATTATATAATATATATATATATATATATATATATATATATATATATATATATATATATATATATATATATATATATATATATATATATATCCTTATATCGTAGTCGAAACATATTTTTATGGTAAAAAAAAGTCTTTTTCAACGTTTAAGCAACTTTAACAATTTAGGGTGGAATGCAAGAAGCAAACTTGAGTCAAGTTCGACTTGAACTTTATTTTGTAACCAATAGCGGCAGAGTATTTTTTGAGGGGAAAACCCATACTCTGTCGCTATTGGTTATAATGTAAAGTTCAAGTCGAGCTTGACTCAAGTTCGCTTCTTGCATTCCACCCTTAGCTACATCTTAATGTCGTCTAAAATGTTAAAACAATTAAAATGATGCGGAAATGCATTAGGTTTTATCGCTTTTTAATATCAATTAATAGTGTTTTTTGTTTGTTTATTGCTTTATAATATTTTTATATAACATGCGCGGAGTGCTGCTACATCGACTATCTTATAGCCTGCTACTACAGGGAAGTGCCACTTTTAATTGGATGAAAGTTGCTAATTACTGCGTATAAATTTACGCTAATTGTACTGCTTTTCCATTATCAATTCAAAGAAAACAAAACACTTTGAACTTCACTGCTCACATCCTAGAAATCTTGTGATATGCTCTAGGTGCTCATCTTATGTTACTATCTAGATGCTTACATTACCCGAATCTATTCAATATGTTGTATTAAAAAAAAATTCTGATAATATCCCCACCAGAAAAAAAAAAGTAAGAGTCAAGTGGTTGTGAGAATGTTGACGCTAGAGGAGCACACCTTCATTTTATTCCTCTTCTATGTGGTACTGACATCGATATCTGATCATCATGGCATCATCAAAATCATGGCAAAAAATTCTAAATGAATTACATGTAAAGTTTAATTATTAAAAGTTTTTTAATTAGTATTATAAGGATTGTTGACATTAAGAAAGTTATTGTGATTTCAGATTATAATACTTCAAAGTTCATAATTTATTTAGCCATAAAAGAACAATCTTTAAACATGTTAATAAAGTGGAGTCAAACTTTTAGGTAATTTTACAAATAGTTAGTGAAAAGCAAGTTTTTCTTTTATCTATATTTTAATTGGAGCATTTTTTTGATTTATTCTTAATTTTTAGCGAAAGTGAAAGTTTTGATAATTATTATGAAACGCGTGTTGACGATCTCATAAAAGCAGCAAATATACTGGAGCAAGCATTAATTGAACAAAAGACAATGCTGAAAGAACGTCTAAAGAGGTTATCAAAGGTGCTTGTAAACGACAACGAACTTTGATCGAAGCGTTGTGTGATGGTTTTATGTGGTTGTTTCTTTAAATTGCACTCTATTTTGTATTTCAGTCTATATCTGAATACTTAGTTTGAAAAAAGTTGAACTGAGATATTTTTTCACATGTTCATATATTTATGCAAAATATCCATTACTTATCCATAAATATCCATTACTTATCCAATAGATATTTATATTATATCCAAGTAGCATTTTAAACTTATATCCAGCTTGTTTAAAATATAGTTATTTTTTATTTAATGTTTGATAAAGAAACACTTGGTAGTTGATATTTTCAATTTTGTAAATGTTTTATATAATCAGTTAGAGTAAATTTTCAAGCTATTAATAGTTGCTAAACAAATATAGTAATTTTTGTGTTATTAAAAATATTACCCATCTGTTCCTACAAAAGTTGGTGTTAAACCTTGCCTTCCGCATGAACTCCAAAAAAGTTGATTTTTGGTATTCTTTTGGCAAAATAATATTATGGTCGTTTACGCCACTCTATCAAAACTACTACTGTCCGAACCACATAGAATACAAGCATAAAGGTAAAAAATTAAAAAAAATAAACCATTTCTATGAGATTTTGTATTGGGTTCATTGAAGTATCTATTTCTGAAAAGGAAAAGCATTCTGCGTTATATCTATCTCATTTATTTATATTAAAGGTTATTTATCTGTTTCTAAGTTTATAACTATGAAGTCGTTACTAATGTTTTAACACGTAAAGTACGAAAAGTTAATTCTAAATATGAACATTGTTCAAATTTATATATCTATTAGCTTTTTTCAGAGTATAGGGTCATTGCATAATAATGTCAATCCAAAAATGGTCACACTTGTATCATTTTTTTTCTTTGTCAAGCAATCATTTGCAATTAAAGGTAATTTCCGATAAAATATTTAAAAATATTAAATACAAATACATTTGATTTATAGTAGTTATGAGACCGGAGAACCTGAAAAAGATAAAATCTTATCATCAGTAACCTTTGGTAATAAAAAGGGAAATAAAAGTGTATTGTTAGAAAAAATCATGTAAAGAATCTCGATTGGCAATAAGTTCGATTATGTTCTTTTTAAATTTTTGAGAGGTATTGGCTCCTTCAAGTTTACAACTCAGGCTTGTAAAATGGTTCCATAGCATTGAGCCACGATAGGAAAGCTCGTAAGTTTTGATGTACGGCAAAGTTTTTTAAATTTTCCGGTAGATCGAGTATTGTATCGGTTTAATATTTTAGGGAAAATATTTTCGAAAATCTTCGGCGTTTTTTTTTTGACTGAGACATTCGAGTTTAGATTTATTTGTACTACCCCAAACAATATTATCATAAGATAAATAACTATTTATGAAGGGAAAATATATCTAGTTTTACATAAAATGCCAATATTTCTTGAGATTTTATTTTATATGTTTAATATAATCTCTCCAGGATAAGTTTTCATCTATTAAAATACCAAGTAATTTATTTGAAAATGAGCGCTCAATTTTCATGTTATTTATATGTAGCATTGGTAAGGACTTTGGAATATATCGAAACTTTCGTTTAGAATGGAATAAGGAAAACTTAGTTTTTTCAGTGTTTAAAGATAGGCTGTTAGCGATAAGCCAGTTTGTTCCAGTTCACTATTTGCTAATTCATGATATTCATATGAACTCCTGACGTTCGCAAAATTTTATATCCGGCATGATGGGTGGCAAAAAACTATAAACAAACATTCGGCAAAAATAGATATGTAGAAAATGATTAGGTTGCAGCTTTCTTAGCAAACTATGCCATATCCGAATTATAAAAGTCTTTATTTATAAGTATTATAGGATATTATAATAAAAATTATCAGTTCTAGAGATTAATTCAGACCCGTATTATTTCGCGACGTTAGAATTATCTTGTGCTATCTCCATGTTTTTGCAAACTGAGAAAATCGATGTCAAAGTTTGAATTTGTTCGCAGCTAAATTGAAAAAATATTTTGAGAATTTAGGTATTTCCTAAGATTTAAAAATGTTTTATTATTAATTTTTAGATAAAAAAAACTTTTTAAAATTACGCTAACGCCCTTTTTTTCGCACCCTCTTTTGGAGATAGAACAAAATAACTTTGGTTTTTAGTAAAATTCAAAAATATTATGTTGTTACATCATATATATTAAACATATTAAGTACATTTTTCAACAACGACATGTTAGAAATTGATGAAATTTTGTTCTACCTGCTAATTATTCTTACGCAGTACCATACACTCCTAATTTATGGGCATGGGCCCCTAAATTAGGGGCATGGGCCCCTAATTTAACGGAACCCTTTTCAAAATATAAGACGCTTTTTGTAATACCTAAAAAATTAAGTTTTTTTTAAATAAAATGAGGCCCTAATTAGGAGAACTTTTAGAAGAGCCTCTAACGACACTGTTCTTACGACTTACATTTACTTTAATTACCTGTAGGCGCCGGCCCTGGACAAGACTAAGACGTCTAATTTAAAACGGAAAATTTGGCTGCGTAATAATAATATAAACGTATTAATATAATATAAACGTATAAAATAAATTATGAAAGGTATATAGGAAAGAGTTATGTTTAAAAAAATGTAATAATAAAAGAAATAACATTATGTAACTATCTGATAATTCACAACAATTCAACTAATCTAATCACAAACTCCATGCAAGATGAACTTGATTTTATTTTTCTTATGCCGGTGTATCCATTAATAGAGTTTAACTTTTTATTAAAAGTTATTGCAAATATTTACAAATAAAAAATTGTTACTCAAGTTAACGTCAGGAAGGGCATCAGGTTGTGAAACATTGTTTTAACTCTTTCATAGTGGCCTTTATGTCACTATGGAAAACCATCCAAACCAAACAAGTGGGGGAAAATGAATATAAAAGTACAAAAAAACAAACAAAAAAACACAAGCTAAACAAAAATTTTTATCAAGATTTCAAAATAATATTATTTCAATGTGTTTTATATTTATATTTATACTAAATAAATATTTTATTTAAATATGTTATTTATATGTATATTATTTATATTATTATATATATATATAAGTATGTTATTTATATTTATACTAAACATATAACAACCCTAAAAATATTTTGACTTTATTAATGTTTTGTAAATGTTCAATTTATTATTGTTTTATAAAATGCAATATCAACAGCAGGCATGTATGAATACATGGAAATGATATCATTGGCTTTTGCAACAGATATAGACTGATAAGAAGCACGAAAGCAAGCTGCCATTGGTATATTGGTATTTAATGGTTTTGCAACAATGGTTGATGCTGCTTTCTTGACAGACTTATTTATACGAGCTTGTGAATAATTATCTGAAAACGAGGTTTTAAAAAAAACATGGTATGGCAGTCCGTTTCGATAAACAAGATTTTTAACCTTTGAATAAGGCACTAACTTATAACTTGACAAACCAGCGACAACTGAAAAATTCTTTACATCTTTACATTTGGTAAACACAGAAAGGTTTTTTACGGTTTACATTTTTAATAGCTCTTTCTAGCCCAAGTGGACTAAATATTTCTGCAGCAGAGAGGGATTTTTCAATCTGACTATGAATGTTGTCACATTCTTGAATGCTGGAATGACCTGGCTCGCAGAATTTCTGTTCAATTACTTTTATTTGTGGGTATCGTATTATAAATTCACACAAAGCTGCTGACATGAAACTATTGCGGTTTTGTGGTACACATGAATCGAACCAAAGTATGAACTTATTTATGTCAAGGTCAGCCATGATTTTCAAAAGCAAACATGTTACAGCACTGCCTAGATCATTTCCTCCACGACCAGTCATGGCTTCGTGCCAAAGGATGCAATAACCCTTCCTGTTAAGCGAACAATGACCAGTTAAGTTATAATTTGAAAGTTTTCGTTTGTAATAAAAGTTTCCCACATTAGCTCTAGGCAAATTTAAAACATTTTTAAGGTCAATACAAACAATTGCAGTTTTAGAATCAACATTTTGGCGATCATTTTCACGTTCAGTTTTGGTATCATTCCTTGATTTTATGTGCTTATTATAACTATCTGTTTGTTCATTGCTTGCATTAACAATGTTGCGATACTCATAGCATGTGTCACATAAATCTTTCTTCGGTTTTTGAAATTCTATATTGAACTCGTGATTAAAGATATAACGATACATTTGTTCTTTTGCTGGAGGAGAGACATTTTCATCACAATATATTTTATAAAGATCATACATTCTACCTATATTTAGTGATCCTTCCATGTATTCTTTATGTGTCTTTTTCCTGCTATAATGAGCATCAATTCTTGGGAAAAGGTTAATATGGTCTCGTACAACTTGTTTAGACTCTTCTAGTAACCTTTTTTTAACATGTTTCCCTGATTTTGATTGCAATGGTGTTCCAGTAGTTAAAGATTTATTAAACTTATGAAAGTAAAACACTCTATGGCTGCTAATATTCAATGTTGAAAGATAATATGATTTACAAACTTTATATTGTGTATTAGAAACAAAAAAGCTATAATAATAAGATGTTTTTCTTCTTGAATTGTCACCAGCAGCTGTCCGACAGCGTTTTTTCTCCAGATTTTCAGTAGTTTTAGAATAGAAATGTTTTTTTCCGTCATCATCTAAGGTCCAAAAGTTATCAAATATTATTTGACGCTCAATCTCAGATATATTGGTAGAACATTTAAATTTACAATTTCTGCAACTTTTTAGTGCAACAATAGATCTTTTTGGCATTTGTTCTCCTTTCGTATTTTTATAAGCTTTACCCGACTGACGTTGGATTTTTCTTACACTTTGTTTCCAACTACTCCTATCAGCTTTACGTTTCCTAGAAACCCCACCATGGGGCGACCGACGAGAAGGTGTAATGCCAAGCAGCTCTAACGATTAAAATATTAATTTTTTATTATCCAGGATGTATAAATAATAACTTTTAAATTTAATCTAAAATGGCACAAGCGAAAGTCGAATTCTACTTTTCCAAAATTATAATACAAATTAAGTTGAAAAACTACCTTCGTTTTGATTTAGGGCAGGTTCCATTTCTTGGTCAATATTTGCAGTTGCCATTTTGAAAACAACAAAA